ACATTCCTGGCTGGTGAGGTTTTAATGCTGTCGGAGGTTTTGAGGCTTTCCAGGTCAGCCCCAGGTTTCAGGGAAGGCAGCCTCCCCGGCCAGGTGCCTTAACCTGCAGGGCCCAAACCTTAATGAGAAAAAAAAAATAAAAAATGACAGAACGTAAGCAAACCTTCCTTGCATTTGTACATTTTTGCTAGGATCTCCTCCTGCAGGATTTCCCTTCACCCTGAGGGCCGGGGTGCGAAGATGCCCCAAGGATGATCTCGTTCCTTCTTGCGGTCCTGCCCAAGACAGCCTGAAAACAGGGCAGGAGCCACGGTGAAACCTGGGGGCTTCTGTGGGGACAGAGAGAGGAGAGATGTGTCCTCAATGTGCCTACAGCTCTTTGGGGGTGTCATGGGGGCTGTTGAAGCTTGCAAGCTCCTGCTGTTAGCCGGTTCCCACAGCAGAGGCCACCAGGAGAGCAGCACTCAGCCGGGATTTCCAGGCTGCATACCACGAGGTCTAGAAACTGCCTGGATACAGCCAGCTCCATCTGGAGATTTAGGAATTTAGAAATAATTGGAGGGTTTTTACAGGATAGAATTAGTCAACGGGCTTATTTGCAGAGGTTTTTGTCCCCCACCTGCCCCCTGGGGAAGGCAGGCAGGCAGCAGTTGCTGCCGCGGTGCTGGGGACGCATGACAGGCGCATGCGGTGGTATGAGATTAGGCTGGATTTTGGGGTTTGGTGGTGACAGCGGCTGTCCTTTGGGATGCTTCACTTCTCTGTGGAACTAGCCTTACCCTGTAGCAAAGCTAGAAGCAATCAGGATAATTATCTTAATTATTGGGATTTCAGATGCTGGGGAATTCTGACCTCTTCCCGTGACGTGCTTACTGAGCTGGAGTGCTGTGAGCTCCCCGTCTCAGCAGCTGTGTCTGAAGTGCAGGTGTAGCCCAGTTTCTCGCTCGTGTTTCCTGCAACTGGGGTATTGAGGCCGAGCCTGCTGGAGCCATGGGCAGGGGAAAACAAAAGCTCGAATATCTGTTGCCTGGCTGAGCCTGAGATAATTGCATTCACTTCTCCAGCCCGGCTAAGGCTCTACAAGCGAGTGTTCTACCTCGTTAGAAATAATAACTTCTATTTAATAACTTACAATATGGCAGATAGATGCATTTTTTCTCCAGTGATAGCACTTGCTTCAGATTGAGCAAATGATGAAAGGAAAAGGCATGATTATTAAAAAAAAATGCTTTCATATAAATCACGAGGAAACAGGCTCATGGATTTAACCCGTGCTCGGCCTCCGGAGCTGCTCTGCTGTACTTTATTCGAGGAAGTTAATGGAAATTTTTCTCAGATGTAGATGGCTGGGCTTTTCCAGTGTTCCTGTGGTGTTGCACACCAGAGCGTGCAGTGGGTGCCAGATGAGGGATGTAAGGGACTGGATCCCTGCACAGCTGTGCTGCTGGGATGGAAAAAGGGCATGTGGGGCCGTGTCCACAGGGCATCGGCAGCAGGAAGAAGAGCAACCACATCTTCTGATAGTATTTCCTCATCTTCCTGCAAAGGGATGCATCCAAAAGCTCATTATTCATAAAGCTTTGAGAGGTGAGGGCCAGCTGCTGATTTCCATGGAAGAATTCCTGTAATTCCTGGAAGCACCTGTAAGACAGCCTGGGTAGAGGTGGTCCAAAATGCCTTGGGCTGAGATTTGTGAGAGTGCAGGACACCGTAAGAGCAGCTTCTCTATGGAAATCTCTTCCCTCGGGCACAGTGAACAATACTTTTGCGGCCCATGGTTTGGAAATAGTAGAGGTTTTCCTAGTGGACATGTGTTTTGGGGTTATGTGGGCACATATGCATAAGCGTACCTATTTTCAGGTGCATTATCATGATTTGTATTCAGCCAGAGCTTTGCTAATGTGCATTGCAATCATCGGCTGCTGAAGAGCACTTTGTGATGGAAGCATGCATTTGGGGTGATGAACAACGTGCATCTAACCCTTTTACTTTGACAAATGGATGGCTTTTTAATTACAAGCGCAGCATACAGCATGTTTATTCCAAAAAGAGAATTTAAAATTTATCCCGCGAATGAATATCAATAATATAGACAACTTGGTAAAAATTTAACCAGCCCATTAGCATGACGAAGGCATCAAAGGTTCTGTTGGCTTTGTAGCCTGCTGATGAATACCTCCTCAGGATTAAAAAGAAGAGCCTTCCATGCCAGCAGAAGGAGAGGGAAGCCTACGAGCCCAACCTCACCACCACACCGGTGGGTCGGGCCTGGCCGCATCCTCCTGCATGTTGGAGATCTGCTGGGCTTGGTGGGACCAGAAGGAAGCTGCCTCTGCCCTGAAATAGCAGGCCTGTCCGTGTCTGAGCATGGCTTATGGATCTACAGATGGAAAATAGGACAGGGGTAGTTATCCGCATGGGCTGTCAAGTGCACCGGGGCCTTACTCGTGCTGGGCAAGGCGAAGGCCTCCCGTCTATGCAAACTTTGGGCTGACAGCCCCGAGGAGCATGCTGCTGCTGTATTTCACGTTAATTTTCAGTGTTAATTTTCCCACAGGAGGCAGCAAGGGCTGTGAGACACTTTCTGTCCCATGCAGGGACGCGGCCTCCAGCCAGGGCCTGGAGCGTGGTGCCATGGCCAGGGCTGCAGCGCTGTGCCAAGGGTACAGCAGAGAGGCAAGGCCGTGCCCGTGGTCCGGTGCCCTTAGGAGTTTGCTAAGGAAGCGGCAAGGGAAGGGAGAGCCGGGAAATGCAACAGAGCTGGAGGAAAAGCTGAGAATTGATTTCTTGTCCGGTGCCTTATCAGAGCTTGTTAGGCACCTCCTCGCATCTTCTGCCTAGCCTGACAGTTGCTCCCTGTGCTGACAGGCGTGTTAGTTGCTGCTGCTCATCCTGAGAGACTATTGAATAATTTGCAACCCTGGGTTTGTGAGAGAATAGGATAAATTGATTTTGAAGAAAAAATTATATACCTGCGAATATTTCTCTCTCAGACGAGCTTCCAAAGGGTTATATCAATGCAACAAAATGTGCAGTTGTTTTTCTTGCTCATCAGCTAATAAATTGTCCGATAATAGGCAGGTAAAATGCTCCTCTAATAGCCTAGTGGCAGCCGCAGGTTTGGTAGATGGCAGGGTGATGGCTTGGGGTGGAGAGAGCCCCTGCCCTGCTGCCTTTCCCTGACCCTATGCAGCGCGCGTGCTGCTGGTGCCAGCACCCACCCGCTGCCCACCGGCAGTGTCATCCGCTTCTAAGTGCTCTAGGACAGATTTGCATTGGAGTCGTTTGTTATCTAAAGTGCAGGTCACCGAGTTAAACGGTCATTTGCCCGGCAGCCACCGCAGTGCCACTTCCCCAGCACACACATCGAGGGAAGCGCTCGGCTCCTGACGGGGGCTCCGCAGCATCAGGCCTGCAGGAGAGAGGGGAAAGGGCCGTGCCTTCCCTGCGAAGGTGCAGCTAATGAACAGCTGCAGAATAAAGGACACAGATGGAAGAAGTACTTGCTATAATTACCATTTTTCTACAAATTATGTGTTGTTGTTTTTTTTATTTTTTATTTTTTTTTTTCTAAACCCATTAGGTATGTGATTGCTTCCACTTCAGTTTGTAAGTAGAACTGAAACACATGGTGACTGGATGGAAATGCATCACAGAGTATAAAATACTGTCCTGTCTGTGGTTGGTATGAAGGGGCAGGGATGGTTTGGGTTCTATTGTGTGCACTTGCACAGCCATCAGCTCGGGAGACACTGCGTTACAGGCAGTGGGAGGGCACCCCGGGCAAAACCCTCCCCAGGCTCATATTTTTTTTCTAAGAGATAAAATGGAAAACTGTGTTTTTTATGTCTTGTGAAATGCTCAGGGTATTAGCAGGCGAAATTGCTATGCAAAACGAAAAGTTCCATTCTGCTAGCAGTAACATGAAATGTAATAACATTTTATTTTTCTGGCTGCGTGTTACCAGATGTGTATTCATCCCCCACTACCCCTTCCTACAGCCCTGCTAGCAGTTTTCTTGTGCTTTCCAGTCTCTTTTCATTTGCTCTTGACTTAAAGGCATTGTTGTTAGCTAGGCAAAGGATGTGTTTGTCCAGGTAGATTTAGCTTTCTGAAAACCAAATGCCATTTTTGCAATTTGTTACACCAGGATAAAATGGTAGTGCAGTTGTACTTCCTGATTGCTATAGAGACTATTTATAAACAACATCAAAAAAAAAGAAAAAAAAAAAAGGAAACAAACAAAAAAAAAACAGCCCTCAACACATTTCACATTCATTTCTCTGGTTCTCCAGGGCAGGTGGGTGGCCAGGGGCCAGCAGTGAGGAGGAGGAGGAGGAAGAGAGGGCACAGGTGGGAGGCAGGGGGATAAGGGCCATATTGGGCCCCGCGGTCATATTTCTCTGTCCATGCTAATGTTTTGAAACTTAGATCTCAGCCAGGCCATTATGTATCTGTGAGCAGATTGCTCATGAAGCACTTGAAGAGAAATAAATACCTTTCACAGCACATACTTACTGCTCTCCGATGGGCTAAAGTGCACTAGTGCGGGCTTGTTTTGTGCACATGACCTGCAAAGTGTAGGGTCTGTTTTTGGGTAATTTCATGAATATGATGAACATGTGGAACAGCTGAGTAATACTTTAAGATCCCATCAAGTCCAACTCCAGGTTGCAATTAGCATCTGTGGCTAACTTAATGCTGGGGTTGAAAGGGTAGCTCTGTATTTTCACTTCATCAGCAGTGCCTTCAGAAGTGGCCGTAACAATAGACATGAATTATTCACGCCGTTACGCCCCTTGCTCTATTTTTGGCTCCTCACACACTGAGGATGACAATTTAATAGCAACTGTATGAAAGCGGTAGACACACCAGTGCCTTCTCTTTTATACATTAAAAAATATAAAATATGTTTCTTGAAATGTTCAACCCCCCCCCAGGATGTAAGTGCTTCCTAAATTCTCCATAACCAATCAAGTTTTCTCCCTTGCTGGTTGCAGGGATGACGTGCCAAGCCAGGACGTCCTACACCGAGGACGAGGTGCTCTGGGGTCATCGCTTCTTCCCGGTTATTTCCTTGGAAGAAGGGTTCTTCAAGGTCGATTACTCCCAGTTCCACGCGACCTTCGAGGTGCCCCACCCCGCCGTACAGCGTGAAGGAGCAGGAGGAGATGCTGCTCATGTCCTCGCCCTTGATAGCGCCCGCTGTCAGCAACAGCAAAGAAAGGAACAACTCAGTGGAGTGCCTGGATGGTCTCGACGAAGTTGGCACAAAACTTCCTTCAAAACTGCAGAAAATAACTGGAAGGGAAGACTTCCCCAAAAAACTCCTCAGGATGAGCTCCACCACCTCCGAGAAGGCCTACAGCATGGGGGATTTGCCCATGAAACTGCAGCGGATCAGCTCGGTCCCTGGGAATTCGGAAGAGAAACTGGTGTCCAAAACCACAAAGATGATGTCGGATCCCATGAGCCAGTCCGTGGCCGATTTGCCACCCAAGCTCCAGAAGCTGTCGGGCGGCGGGCGGATGGAGGGAAACCTTCCTCCCAAACTGAGAAAAATGAATTCCGACCGCTTCACATAGCCCGGCCGGGCGCCTGGCTGGCTCGCAGAGCCTGGACTGCGGCGAGAAGCGCAGCGTGGGCAGGATGGCCGGCCTCCACACCACCTCCTGTGCTGGCTCCACGTGTCCAAGGGTGGTGGTGGTGGCGGTGGTGGTGGTGGTGGTGGCAGTGGTGGTGGCGGTGGTGGTGGTGGTGGCGGCAGCGGGGCCGTACGCACGCTCACCGTCCTGCCGCCCGTGCCCGGCATGTAGTATCACAACGCGCATGCAATAATAGTGTGCAATTTTTGCATATAGTTTTATGGCATGACTCGTACTATATTTATACTGTATATTCTGAAAAATATGTACAGGGGCGTTCCGTGCCCCTCTATTTCCTAAGAGTATGTGGTAGGTAAAACATGAGAGTGGGTAACTTTCAGGGTAAGTTATAATTTTTTATTTTTATTTTTTAATGTGGATTGTGATGTTTTGTTCCACTAAGTGGTTACGGTGCATGGTTTTTTTCCTTGAAGGAAGGTGTATTAGTTACTTCTCACACCAAATCTGCTAGCCTTAAATGAACTGCTGGTTTCCATTTTGCTTTAACTTTTTCTTGGGTTTCTTTTTTCTGCCTATAGGCTACTGGAAAAAAAATGTATTTCATAAGGTACTATTTAGAAAAGAAACTTGTATTAACAAGGCTAGGCAAAACAATAAAAGAAAAGAGTAAAATTAACAATTTAGGTATGATTAGAAAATAATTTTAGATTTCTTCCAGAATTTATAACAGATACGTATGAAAACCAGAAAACCCTTTCAAATAAACAGCACGTGCTTGGTTTCTCACATTGATAGGACAGCTCACTGTGGCAATAGCTGACTGTCCGTGAAGTCAAGCAGGCTTTTGTTCTGGATGCTCTGCCCAAGGGCAGGGCCAAAATCCCCCCGTGCTCCAGCAGCGCCAGGGTTCTCTGCGCTGCTGGGCGATTCCCTGCACTGCTTTCTCTGTGGTGAAAACATGTTCAAAAACATTAACCAAGGTTGACCCTGTGGGTTTTGAAATGAGTAATACTTTGTATAAATGTCTGCTTTGGCAGCCTGCTGTGGCTGCGTTTGGTTTTTGGGTTTTTATCCTGTTTTGCCCCAAAATGTGGGGCCACGAGGTGGGGTGGCTGCTTCGGAGCTGGGTGGCGGAGGGGCTCCTTGTCCCGCTGGGGCTGGGGCTGGGTGGCAGTGGCTTCGGGGAGCAAAGCCTCGAGGGCTGTACGCCACGTGGGACAGAACAGTTCGGTTTTATTACAAAGGCTGGCCTGGAGCAAGAACCGAGAGGCTGAGAGTCGCTGGAAGGGTTGGCTCAAACGCCGCGGTGGCGCCGTGCTCGTCCTGGAAGTTACCGTGTGGGGTCGCTCAGTTGTGCGCTCGTGGACTTGGTACTAACTGAAGGTTTTTTTCACCGTTTATAACGATTTTTGAGTGGCACTGCATGCTTTTTACACCTTTGGCCATACTGAAATTCTTTGCACGTTGTTGTTAAAGGGAACCGTGTGTGCAGCTCCCTGTGTGCCGCTCCCCAGCGCGCGATGAGCAGACCTCTGACGCTGCAAGGTAAAATCTGAACGTTTTCCCTCGTTTGCTGACACTTGCTCAGGTTGTCCTGTATAATTTGTGTGCCAGGGGGAACTCTTCTGCTAGTCCTTGGCTGAGTGAACGAGGCCACGTGCTGGTGGCAGCTTCCTCAGCGGGGGGACAGCCACGGGGGCTTGTCCCTGCCCAGATCCCCTGCTGCCGTGGGACTGCCCACTGCCCTCTTGATTTTTCCTTGTGGAAAGTCAATGCGGAACATCCCTGGAGTAAGAGCAGTGGTGTTGCAGCCAGCTGGGCCTGAGGAGCTTAGGTGACTCAGTGGCTGCATACAAATACCTGAAAGTATGCGAAACACTGGGACAGCATCCTCACTTTTATTAAATTAATGCCAGATAAAATACTACATTATGATTAATTCAGAAGTTTGACTTTTTAAAATCCAAATATTCACCTGTCCTTGCTGGACACAAGATTTCTGAGGCTTGTGGCTTGTACTGCAATGTGTAATGTACGTTAAGGCTAAATACATGTCTTTCGTTAATGAGAGTGGAAGTACAAACATGGATGATAACTTTCTTCAGTTATTCGGTTTAAGAAGTTATTTCTGGGTAATATTTCAGTTTTATTGGTGTAACCCTTTTCTGTTTTTCCTAACCATTTTAGCCCGGCCCTATTGCTTATGCTAAGAAGAAGTATATCTGTTTGTTCGATTGCACAGCCGGTCTGTGTTCTCTACTGCTGAATTTATGCTTGAATTATATTGTAAATTGTACATATTCAAATTAGAATAAACTAAATGCATTTTCTGGCATGCACTCTATAACTGTATAAATGTACAAGTTTATTTGAATTATACAAAACAACAAACTCTTGTATTCATTAATACTGCAAGCTCAGTTTTATCTACAGCTATATTAAACTTTCAAAAATCCTTCGGTTTAAATGCTCTGGTGTGTTTGTCTTTTCTCCAGTCCATTTTTTAATACTTTAGTAAGTGGCTATGTATTCAAGCTGTTTGGGGACTTACGATTCACATTTGGTGTGTGCAAAAGGCCGGTTTCTTGACCGGTCTTAAGAAAAGCAAAAATAAAACATAATTTAGTTGTAGTTTTTTTAGTTCCTGGGGGCCCGTCTGCCCCCTGTGTGCAGAATATTACATTTCTGTAGCTGTATATATATTGAATATTAGCTTTCTGTAATTTATGACATGTGCTTTCTTTGTGCACAGGGACTTAGGAGCTCTTTATGCAGAGAGAAGTAGGAATTTATATAGTTATCACCCAGAAATCACTGGCGGCCACCAGGCAGCCCTTCCTCTCCGGCTTCTTAGCACGAATTGCCTTGTCAGGGCCTGGGTGTCACCACTCAGGATGGGCAAAAAGCATTCTGTGCTAAAAAAAATTAGAGAATAACTGAAGATATCATTTGCCAATGATAGCGGACTTAACTCTTTCCCTCCCAGTGGCTGCTGAATGAACATTACCAGGGCACAACCACGCTTCATTTCTCCCCGTTAACCTTGTTGTGAGTCCCAGCCCTGTCTGGCAGCTCCAGCACATGCTCCTCCTAATGCATTATTCACCTGGCCCCAGGCCCCTGACATTGCTAATACGAATACATATTTTTCCATACGGTTACAAGTGATAGTAAAATTCAGAGATTTCTTTGAGTACTCCTGCACCTGCTTTCCGTTCAGAGCTTTATTTCTGGTGGTGTTTCCAAATCCCCCAGCACAGCACGGCTCAGATCACCTAGGAGTACTTGTTGCAGCTAACATGTACGCGGGCTTCCCAAGCACTCAGCTCCTGAGAAACCGCCCTGCTACCTGTGCGAGACACGCCACAGCCCAGGGAATCGAGGCTCTGCTTAGCATAATTGAATTACCGAGTGTGGCAGAACAAAAAGACACGACAACACAGAGCTGTATCAATCATGCCGTGCCGCCAGACGTGGAATACATTTGAATTTATTTCCTCAGCTCTGGTTGTAAAAGAGGGAATTTGCGGTGCTTACTGGGAGAAATGAAATTGCTGGTAGCTTTAAATACTTAGGGGGAGGGGGGGAAATCTGCCAAGGAAGAGGGCTAGAAAGAAAGAGAAGCATTCCTGGTATAATAGTGCAAAAGGAAATACATCTTCATCCAGTGTTGGGGCAGAGACTGAGGAGAATGTAAATGCTTTTAAATCAGGTCTAAGGGCTTTATTCATATTCATACCCCCAAAATGATAGGATTTGGGGGTGGGCTCCATGCTGGAGCACAGCTGCATCCATAGAGTCTGAACATTTTAGATGGTGGCTGCACATCGCTCCCGAATGCGCCCAGCTGCTCACAGCAGTGTGCTGTGACAGTGCCAGCGGGCATGGGTGCCAGGAGGGCAATTCTGCTCTCATCGATGATAAGAGAATTACCGTTTTCATGGATGTGAAGTAATCTACATTTACATTTCTCACTTCACGAAAAGAAGGAAAAAAAAAAAGAGAGAGACTAAGAAAGAGATAAAGAATGGGGGAAGAGAGGGATGGAGAGGGAACCCATCATTTACGTCAGCCTAATTTTTGTGTGGTTACAAGTACTATTTAGCATGAGTGCAATACTGGTTTCGTTAATCTGTTTACAACACTCCCAAGCAGACTCTGATTGCTGCAAAAAGCACTTGAATTATTATTCCCACAATAAACATCTGTGCCTCACGGTGGAAGGCCTGGCAGCGGCAGTGGGCTGTGAGCAGCAAGAGGCAGGCGTGCGGTGCCCCCCGAGCATCGCCTGCAGCCCCACAGCACCCACGGGGACCGAGAGGCTGTGCTGGCACCTTGCAGGGATGTTCAGGATACCTGCTGAAGAGGAGCAGGACACGGAGAGGATACCATCGCTTCCCTTCCCCTGGGCAGAGGATGCTCACGAGAAGAGAGCACCCCACGGCAGCCAGCTCTGGAATTTGTCTCTGTGCACGTTTTCCAGCCTGGCACCTGCTGTGCCCAGTGCAGACTCATGCAGCAGCTGGGTTTTGGTGCCAAGCTCTCCTTATCCCAGTGACGGGCACGTGAAGGTTTGAGGAGCAGCGTGAGCGTGAAGTGAGGATGAGACGAGCTGCAGGCTGCAAATGCCATGCGCTCAGCAGAGCTTCGTGTGCGTGTGCTCAGGGACAGGACGTTCAGCAACATGCATGTAAGGGAATATGCACTGTGCACGTAATATATACGTATAAATTCCAATGAAAATACAGGATTGGTGATGCCGATGTATTTATAATATGTAGGTAACAGCAGTCAAGGTAAGTGTTTGCTACGTCAGATGTATTTTCTACTCCAACCATTCCAATTTATTTCTGTCTGAAGCGTTTGTTGGTTTAGATGAGCTTTTTGGGCACTGCCTTGAGAATCAGGTCTTTGGACTCATTCCACACCGACTGCGTGAGATGGAAAACTCGTGACAGATGGACGAAAGTGCAACAGAGAGAAAGGGAGGGAGCGTGCGAGCAGGAGCAGCGTCTCTCTCTCTCTGTTTGAATAACCCGGGGAGATTTTTCTCTTGGCACCCTCCAGCAGCTCCCTGGGAAGGTTCCAGACATCGCTTCCTCAAGCAGTCTTGGAGCCCTCT